TTGTAAATAGGGAGGGGCAGAGGAGTTGAAGGGAGGGCAGGGAAATGGGGAAAAAATAAGAACCAAGATAGAGTATGTAAAGGTGCAAATTCCCAGTGATGAATCTCATTGTATAACTAAAATGTACCAATAAAATTAATTTTAAAAATCAGTAACAAAGGCTGGCGGGACTGTGGGGGGAGAAGGAACCCTTCTCCACTGTTGGCAGGATTGTAGACTGGTGCAACCATGGTAGAAATCTGTGGAGATTCCTCAGAAAACTAGGATTAGAGGTCCCATTTGACGCAGCTATTACCCCTGCTGGATATTTTCCCAAAAGAATTTAAAACATCATACCACAGTGATATATGCACACCCGTGTTTATAGCGGCATAGTTTGTAATAGCTAAATCTTGGAAACAGCCCAAATGCCCATCAACTGGTGACTGGATAAATAAGATGTAACTTTTTTTATAAAATGGAATACTACTCAGCTATAAAAAATGATAAACTAGAGACATTTTTAGCTAAATGAATGGATCTTGAGACCATACTCTTAAGTGAAATAAATAGAACACACATGTGTAAATACCGAATTGTTTCTGTGTTGTGAGAAACTAAAAGTATAAATGAGAACCAAAATGTATAATTGATATTGTGAAATAGGAAGAAAAGGTAAAAAGGGGGATTTTTGGGGGGAGGTGGGGGATGAGAAAAAGAAAAAATGGAAAAAAAGCTTTTGTAAATAGGAGTGGAAGGGAGGGAAGGGGAATGGGAAAAAACAAGAACCAAGATATATCATGTACAGGTACAAATTTCCAATATGATTATAATGTGATTATAGTGTATACCTAAAGTGTACCAATAAACATAATGAATTTTTAAAAAGCTAGGTGGAGAAAACTGTGACTTTGGGTATACAGAGGGACACAGAAAGTGGTAGTTGGTGAAGTGACTACAGCCTTAGAGCAGTCACCATTGACTAGCCATGCCCTGTGTGATACGAGGGGCAAGAAATTTTTTTTCTTTTAGAACTAATTCCCTAACACACACACTGGTTTTTGGGCAGCTTGGGGTTTGTTTGTTTGTTTGTTTGTTTTCTTTTTTCTTATTTTTTTCCTTTTTTCTCTGTCTTTTACTGTTTGTTCTTTTCTGTTACTTTTATGTAATTCTATTAATTTTCTTTTAATAAGATCCTATATCTTACTTTTCTGTCCTCATCTTCTATTGCTTAATTATTCAAATTTTACATCTTTCTCCTGTTCCCCACCCTTCTCCTTTACTAGTATAACCATTGTTTCATTAATCTTTGGCTAGTTAGCTCTGTGCTATTACTATTGAATTTTTTCAATTGTTAGTAGAAATATAGTTGTATTTAGTAGACATTTACTGTTTGTCAACATTTGGGATGTCTTATTGTTTGTAACTATAGACCTCATATTGTTAAATGTGGTACATTATTGGTTTTTGTGGTATGTCAATAGCTATTGTCTTTGATGCTATTGTTGCTAATTTTGTTGCTTTTGCCAGGGTGGCATAGTTGTTAATAATAGGCAATGAAATTGAAGAAGTAATATCAAAAAAAAAAAAAAAAA